AAAAAAAAAAAAAAAAAAAGTACTTCCATCAACACGAAGCAAGCTCTTTGGATCTGAAGGCGCCTCCTCCGGAACTGTTGTGTTGGGGTCGGTAAAGTTGCCCCCCGCACTGAAGGCTCGCCCTGCGCCAGTCCACCTCAGAGCCCCAAGAGTACGAAAGCTCGGCCTTTCAATGCACTTACTTTTTTTTTTAGTAGGTAATTAGGGAATATGCTATTCCCTTATCCCCTGCTCAGAACCGGTAAGGCAATCTGTCCCGAGAAAGCTGAGCTGCGGGCACTATCACTTTACATCGATCGTCCCTCTTCACATGTTCCTGGAAGGTCAACGGTTGGCATTTGCATCAATCCAGGAATGCTCTTCTTCGCATTCAGCCAGGCGGCCAGCAACAGAGACACCTGCTCCAAGGCAAAAATCTCACAAGGTACTGGGGCCCCAGAGGGTCAATTTCTTGATCTGCCTGTGTTTTCTGTTTTTTTCTTCTTCTTCTTCTTCTTTTTCGGAGGCTTTAGGAGCATGCGACATGGAAGCATGGCCTCCTGCGCCAAGTTCAGGCTCATGCAGTTGAGCCGCGCAGGGTCATTCAGCGTGATCACGAAGACCCCATCACCTGCCTGCAGCAAAAAAATAAAACATCATGTCTACTATTACTATTATTACCATTATGACTATCATGACTATCGTTATTATTATTACAACTATTGCTGTTATTGCTGTGATTATTGTTATCATTGTTATTTCTGTTGTTAACATTGCGGCGTGTTCCGAAAACCTTCCGACAGACCCGCAATCGAAGCCGGAGCCCTGGACGTGGTCACGCCAAGCCACATGCTGGTACATGAGGAACTTCATTTTGTAAGGCCTGGCAAGGCACAAAATAGTAGGGAAACGCTCCCTGGCAAAGAGTTGCAGAAAGTCAGGGTTCCGGCTTTGGGGGATCCAGCGCGGAGTCCCCGGAATAGTACAGCAGAATCTCTTCCGCATCACCCAGGGCCGCCATAGTTGATCAACTCTCCGCTGTTTCGCCCAGAGCGGAAGCAGAGGCGGCCTGAGCCTAAAATCAGCTGCAAGACATCCTGTTATGGCTTAGGGAAAATGGAAAAGAAAATGGAAACTACTACAATGGGTTATATAGGGAGTATAGGGTATATCTTGGGGTTATATAGGGGCTATATAGGGATAATGGAAAAGAAAAGGCCTCCACAGGAGTTGTAAGCATCTGTGGAGCAATACAAGCAAAGGTAGAAAGCCGGGGCGCCGCACTTTGCTGCACCAGCTCCCTGACCAGCATGTGCAGACATCTCTTGAGTCTTGCCAATCTTACAATAGCATATCCTGGCTTTCTATTATTACTATTATACGGCTCAGCTGAGTTCGGCCTGCTGCGCCGGGCTGCCTCCATAGCGGAGGCTACATTCCGTTCCAGCTCCTCAGATCTGCACAACGTCTCAGAGCCTCATGCAAGCGTTGCCATATGAGCTATAGTCTAAACTCCTTAAAGGGGTTTATAGGGAATTATATTGGGGATTATTAGGGGTTATTGAGGTGGATACTGGGAGTTCGGACTATGGCTCATATGTTGCCATGTTGCCTTTCAAGGAGAGATAGCGCGCCCAAGCGAAGAGCTGGTGAGTGCTACTATTTGCAAACGCCGCGGCTCGTACCAGCACAATTCAGCCCACCAGACGCCGTAAACCCTAAACCCTAAACGAAGTAACGAGGTCGGGTCAGGTCCTGTGCCTGTTGAAGCGCTCCAACTAGAAGGTCCTCCCGCAAACAAAGTCGAGAGGAAGCAAAGTGCCTTCGCTCACAGGAAGCTGCTTGCAACCGGACTACAACAGCTATATGGGTAAGAACAGGGATACTGTGTTCGCTGACATTTCGCTGACATTCTCAGACTATCCTCTAAGTTCTGGCTACATCCTGAACACCAAACCCCAAAACCCAAAGCCTGAACCCTAAATAGTAGTTTCCATGTCCTTTTCCATTATTCCGAATTTTTTTACTTCGAGCATCCCCACCCT